GCAACCTGGTCTAGTGGAAGGTGTCCCTGCTGCTGGCAGGGGGGTTGGAACTGGATGAGCTTTAAGGTCCCTTCCAACCCAAACCATTCTATGATCTCCCAAAGGATGCTTCCAAAGTGTCCCAGGGAACGGCAGGTAGATGGGTGTGAGGCCAGTTGAGTACTCGCTGCCTTCTTCCACTAACTGAAATTAGTTTCTCAAGGACAAGCTAAATTAATCCAAGTCTCTGTTTAGAACAGTTTCTACTGCACAGCCTAGCCTAGTTCAAAAACCTTAAAAAACCATAAAATGCAGTCATAGTCTCTCTTAACTAAGTTGCTGCATGGCCCAGCCTAGCTCAAAAACCTTAAAAAAAAAATTTAAAAAAATGCAGTCATAGTCTCTCTTAACTAAGTTTAATTACTGTACATCTTCTAAACAAAGCTCTTAAGATTGCCAGTTCCATTCCTAAATGAAGTGATAATCTGCTACATTTGTATTGAGACATTCCTTTTTTTGCAAAGAGAAAAAGTTCAAACAGCGTTGTCAGACGGAAAGAGGAGTGTGGGCAAACTGCACACAAACATCTCGCTTGTGTCTCAAAGCAAAACTAAGAGCTGATATTTACCTGCATCTTTCTCTGCTGGGCTCTGTTCTTTGCTGGTGTGTTATTATCATCATCATCATTTAATTTTAATTAATAAATTGTTTTTTATCTCAACCCGTGAGTCTCCTTGCCCTGCTGGCGTGTGACTGGAGATGCATTTGTAGGGGACAAGGTATACCTGCTCTTCATCGGAGGAAAGCACTACTACTGAGTTGTTGATCACTTTATTTGGGATACACGGACTTGTTTTGCATCTTTGGTGTCAGGCTTAGTTTACTCTGAATGAAGTACAGTTTTTCCAGTGCAGTGTTCTGTCTGTAACCCGACTGTCTGGGGTCTCTCAGATTTGGAGCCATACGGACAATGAGCATGTGACAGGTAACGAGTTCTTCTAGATGACTTCAACCAAACTAATTGTAAGGCCAGACCAGCCACAGCCTGGTTATACTTAGTGGGTGGGGGGGGAAACCAAACCAAAACTGCACAGTAGGAACCAGAACAGTACAGACTGTGGGAAGCAAGACAAGGACCTCGCAGAACCTGGGCGCAACAGGCTGTACATGAGTCTAATGTTTGCAAACTAATGCCAAGGCTGCACTAACACTTTAGAATGTAGCTGAGAGAAAACTTAATTAGTTGAGTAGCTACATAACGAGATTGTGTACCAAAGCACTGTAACATTGTGGTGATGGTGTATGGGGGGGAAATCAATATTCTTCCCAAATATTAACATTAAGAGAGGTTCTCAAATCTACCGCGATGAAAACCCCATGGTGTATGGGGGGGCATGCTGGTCAGAACTGCAGGGTGCACTCACAGCTGTAGAGGCAGCTGTCTTTCCTAATGTAATGCTTGATTCCTTTTCAAGGGGACCCTTGTAAGAATATTTGATACTTCATCAGGGCATTTAATCCAGGAGCTACGAAGAGGATCACAGGCAGCCAATATATACTGGTACGTTTAATTGCTTCTGCTTTGTCTTCTTGTGGGTGTTGTGCTGAGCCACTGGTGAATGGCACCTGTGCCATCTTCAAAAAGCAAAGCAGAGTTATGCTGTCAGGGGCACAGGGCAGAACTCTCCTGGCAGCCGGAGGGCCCAGGGTTGGACTGGGCCTGTGCTTCTTCCTCTCTGCTCGATGCGGGCGAGGAGAGAGCAGGAGCTGGCGGGTGTGGGGAGCCTGGCCCAGGTTACAGGGGCTGGGACAAAAACACAGATATTGTTGTTCCTGCCTCTGCACTGAAGAGATGGTATCTGGGGGGTACTCTGACTTCACTCTGAAATAGAGGGAACACAGTGGTGCAGTCTAACACTGCCCAGAGACTGGGGTGAGGGGTGTTTATTACAACACAGTGCTGCTCTGCACACAAGAGCCCCAGGCAGACATTTGACTAATCCAGTGCTGGAAGCACTCCCCCAGGAGCGGGGAAACTTTCATTCCTCTGCTGAGCACCACTCTGGGGTAGCAGTGTTGCATGTTTTATCCAATACCTGCTTACACCTCAGGGCAGAGGTCGTGCATTTTCTTCCAGCAGAAGTGGCAGAGTGCCCCACCCTGATCACGTCTGTGTCAGGGCAGTCTGTTGCATGGCTGCTCCTGATAAACCCCAGACGCTGCGGGCATGTTCCCATGTTCCAGCAGATACTGCAACTGTCTGTATTCTCTACAGTATTAACTTCAATCAGGATGCTTCCCTAATCTGCGTATCCAGCGACCACGGCACAGTACATATTTTTGCTGCGGAAGACCCTAAAAGAAATAAGCAGTCAAGGTAGGGTTGAGCCATTCTGAAGCCTTTGCGGGGGCCGGGGTGGGGGTGTTGCCCTTTTTACAGTTTAAAACACTGGTCCTGTCAAGCAGTAGGGAACACCTGTGCTACTGGAGGTGGTAAGATTCATCTGTTGTTTGAGTGAAGCTGCAGATTTAGAACTAACAGCAACTACCAAGTTTCTGCTGCCCTGGGTGGAGCTGTGGAGTTCCAGCAGACGGGTAGGGTGGGTTTTTTTAGTGGCTGTCTCCCAGCACGAACAACAGACTTTGTAGACACTCCATATAAAGCAATCTCTACTAGAATTAATCTTTGTGGCAGTTTTTGCAGTCACTTAAAAACAAAGTCAGAAAGGTAGTTGCTCGGTCTCCCTTCCCTAGAAGGGGAATCATACATACTACCTGAAGAAAATAAAAAGCCAATTGAAAATAGCAGCCAGTGTGAACTCTGTGACTTGTTCAAATGTGCCCGCAGTTCTGAATCAACTCCAGTCAACGCCTCACTAAGTTGTTATGTTTCTCTCTCTCCCCTCCTCTCTTTCAGTTTGGCCTCTGCCAGCTTCCTCCCCAAATACTTCAGTTCCAAATGGAGTTTTTCCAAGTTTCAGGTTCCCTCAGGCTCTCCGTGCATTTGTGCCTTTGGAACAGAGCCAAATGCTGTCATAGGTAAGTACTGGAGGCTGCCCCAGGTTGTGTGTGGAGAACCAGGTTTTGAAATACACAACACTGCATGTCCCCATCAGAACAGGAGCTCCCCCACTCAGTACTGTGAGGGAGGGAGACCAGACAGTGCCCAGGGGCTCAGCACTGGGCTGACAGTGCCTCTCTGTTCCTCCAGCCTCACTCTCTGTATGTTCTCTTGGCTTGAAAGGGCAGTTGAAGCTGTAGCTGAAGGAACAGAGCAGCACCTCTGGAACAGCTGAACTGAACATGACTTTGTTTTTGTTTCAGCAATATGTGCAGATGGCAGCTACTACAAGTTCTTATTCAACCAAAAAGGGGAATGCTCAAGGGATGTCTATGCTCAGTTTCTAGAAATGACGGATGACAAGCTTTGACTGAGGGAGTGCATGGGTCAAAGTACTGCCTTGGCTATTCCACATCTGAATGTCCAATAATGATCAAGAAGTTTAGCAGACCTCAGTGAGAAGCCTGGCCCAACATGATCAGAACAAGCTCTGAAGTAGTGGACTACATATGTTTATTCTCATTTCTGCAAGTATTCATTAAAATCGCTTTGGGTTACTGTCATCAACTCAAGTTTCCAAGATGTGGCTTTCAGCAAGCTTGTGCCTATTGGGTTTCTCTCAACCTAAACTGTGAAATGACTTTAGATTAAACGTGAGTGCCTGCCACACTCTATGATCTGCAGGGGGCTGTACAAATGTACAACTAGCCTTAGAAAAAGGGATGTGAAAACAGAAGATAAACAGAAGATTTTAGGCATTGCTTTATTTCCACCGAATGGCTGGCACTGGGGGAATACGATGGATCATGCCAATACAACTCCACCAGCTTGGCTAGGAGCAGGAGCACTGCCTTCCCCCCTCCCCTGAGCACATCTTAGAGTAGAGGAGAAGAGAGGACAAGTATGTAGCCACAGAGGGGGGCAGTCTGAGCCATGCTTGTCTTCTGAGCTGGCTGAGGGGGGAGGTGGCCCTGTGGCCACCAATTGCTGCTCACCTACCTCTACTGATGGTGGTCAAGTGATCAGTGCTGATTGTCAAAGGTGCCAAACTGTACATAGTAGCTCAAGGCACACTGAGGCACTGGCTGACCCAACTAACCTCTCCTTGGTGCATGGAGCAAGCAGCCAGGGCACACAGAGCTCCTGTATTTCTCGAGGTGATTCCTTCTGCAACAAAACAGCCATTCCAGGTTTAAAAAAGCCATCCTCGGTACTGGTGAGACAGCTGTGACTGCTCCCACAACTGCTGCGCTTCAGCTGGAGGAGGGGACAGGCCACTTACACATCCAGCACAATAACTGAATGAGGTGGTATGAAGTATACATCTCTGCAATGACTTTAAACTTGCAAACTCCTCTGTTTTTTATTTGAGATGTTGCATACTATACATGGTTACGTTAGTTAGACTAAACTGACTAACTTATAAACTCTTTC